CGCGGGCAGTAGTTGGTAGACCCCCGGAACTAGGGTACAGGGATAAAAACTTTGAACAGACCACTGTAGAGGTGTCCATCTACAAGAAAGTCGATGGCGCATAAACCATCCACCTATCCCATGATATTTGATTATTCATCTCTTCTTAATATCTGTGCAAGTGAAGGTAGAATTTTAAGAGTTGTAGACCACGTATAATTATACTATTTGCGGGTTGTTCCATGTTTTCTGTGGTTTGAAACTTGTCATTTCGAAAATATATAATCCTGTCGAAATGTGCCCCCTGAAAAATGTAATATCCTGTCAAAGTGTGCTCCTCTCAAAATTTTTGACACCATGAAACCACCTTGTGGGCACCCCTGGACCACGGCAATTATAATTTTATATCTGTGGCACCTGTGCATAGTCTGTCAAGTGGAAAAATCATATTTACGGAATAACGCAATTGAAATTTTGAGATTTTCACAGGTGCTAGTTTTATTTTCGAATTTCGATACATCATTCACAAAGGAATGTTCATTTCTGTAATAGCCCATTAGACACAAAGAGGGAAAAATTAGCTTTCTAGTGATACCCATAAAAATTCACAAAGTTGAAATTTTCACGGATGTAAACTACAATTTTTATAATTCTACTTTCGCTTGGACAGGTTTTAAGAACAGTAGGGCCACAAATTATCTTTGGAGACGGGGTTGGATACCCTTTGTTGTTGAGGATTTATTTAGCCACAAATTTCTTTTGAGATCGCTAAGAAGGATCATCTCATTCATGGCTTTGTATAGCATGATTCAGCTTCATTTATTCTTATGATTTTCTGTAACTATATTTTAAAAGTATGAAGAGTGTTATTTTTAATTAGCCTCGCTTATTTCAACGGTTAGGTTCATTTTTACAGTTGTTATTACCAAGTGGTAGGACTGATAAAATGGCCCCACTAACAACCTACATGCCCAATCAGATCAAATAAGCGGAGGCTAACTGTAAAAAGACGAAAATATTTCCTTCACCTTGGGATCGAGTTCCGCCAACGACGGTCTGGCCAAGGACCCGTCCTTACCACGCCCGCTCGACGTGTCGATGTCCTCTCATGATCAATACAAACCAAAAGAACCTTCTGATATCTCTTTGAATTCTTTTTAAAAAACATCTAATGATTTTGAATTGTGAAATTTATTATTTTAAAAAATAATATTAATTAAATATATAATCCTGGATCATGATCTTTGTAAGTCTTATTGGCAGAGAGCAATTTTTAGCTTAAACTCTTAAATTACACCTATTATAGGATATTTCAGAACTGGAATGCCCATACCCCCAAGGTCGATAGCGCAAAACCCTATCCTCCCCCACCCAACATATTTTATTGCTTACCTTTTCTTAAAAACAGAGCAAGCGAAGGTAGAATTAGAAAAATCGTAGATCATATACAATTTCACTTGTATTGGTATGTTCCATATTTTCACCTTATCCCTTAGAGTGAAACTTTTCATTCTAAAAAAAATCATAAACCCATCAAAATATGCCCCCATCAAAAACTTAGATGGAGCAAGTTGCGCCATCAAACCCCCTTCTGGGCACCCTTGTGTCAGAATGTCCTGTAAACTATGGTATCTCTTCCCTAACTTGATACACTTTTTGGTTGGTCATCAATAATCTCTAATCCAGCACCTTTTTCGGGTTGTACTCTTTCGGTTGTCAAACCATTTCCTGATTACTTGAAGTGTATAGGCTCACGCTGATTTGTTTTACATCAGCCCAAAGTTTTACTATCATAAACTAGACGCTATATAACAAACGAAAATTCACAGCAGCTTAATATCATTCGCCGGATCTGGGCGACAGATGTCATCACAGGCGGATCTACGGAGTGGGGGGGGGAGGAGGAGGGCTGAAGCCCCCTCCAAAACGGAAAAATATAACCATGTTTTATAGAAAAAACTATCTCTTAAAGTATTGTTCGTGTAATTACATTTGATAGGACTTCAAGAATTACTTAAACACCATTTCATATAGGTAGTTAATTTCTTTCTTTTTTTTTCAAATTAATTATTGATATATATTTGAAAAAAAAAATCTTTCGGGCTGAAGCCCCCTCCCAAAAATTAAATCCTGGATCCGCTAGTGGATGTCATCATTATCCGCGGTTTTCACTTTCGAAAATGAAATTTGACACTTAATATACTTATTAAAACTAAATAAGTGCGTACAATTTTCACTTGCTCAAAACTATAAAAATGCAATTTAGACAACTACAAGCCGTCGGGTTTGTACGGCAGATCCCAAAGTAAGACCTATTTTTTTTTTCTTCAGGAGGTGTAAGTTTATTATTGACACAAAAAAAACAACAGCACACATATGTGAATTAATAAAAAAAAATTACATACTGAGTTAGGATTTTATAAAACTATTTGTGGAAGTTTACTACTGTTATAAAGAGTAAATTGCACGATAATAAGTTTTAAAGAAACTTCCCATTGGTAGCCATACAACTAAACCTTTGGTCTTTTCCATGTTTTCCTTGGTTTGAAAATCTTCATAAATCTGAAACCTTACGAAAATTCACAATCTCGTAATAAAGCGCTCTCCAACAGCCAGAATAATTGGAACTTACCATCCTCTTCTGAGTAATCTTGATTAATGCTCTCACTTAAAAGTCTTGTGACCAACTTCTTTTCACACTGCTTGGAGGTTTATCAGGAGTGGATAAGGGTAATTCAGTTTCAGATCATAATTCGGTAATTCAGATTTTCAGTTTCCCGATTGTTATTTGAAATACGAGTTATTACAAGAAAAGTTGCTTAATGTTCAAATACTAGACATCATGAAATACGTTTTTTCACTCATACCGGTATCGCCTACAAATATGAAATCTCACAACATTCCATAACACTTAGTTTTATGACATCAACCAATGAAATGTGCTTTTTTTGGCAGTTACGAGGCATCACATCTTAACTTTCGCTATAATCCTTGTATGAGCCTTTCAGTTGACAGAATGGCCAACTCCGTCATCTGAAAGGCTCATACAAGAATAGAATTTGCTAATCTTCACTTTCAATTCATGTTATGATTGGCACTTAAACATCTTACATGAGGTGACATTATTTTTTTGTTTTTTAACCCGTAAGTCATGACGTGATCAAAATATAAACTTTATTCGACTAGATTCGATATCTTTTTATTTATTTATTTTTTGTCTCCCCTGTTTCCCCTTTTTGGCTATAATTTTCAAAGTGAATCAAGTTGTTCGAAAAGTTCATTTTGAGAGCTTTTTGACTCCCTCATCCGCCAAATTGATAAATTAAAATGGGAAACAAATTTTAAAAAATTTCCACTTACACGGGTTCACATACAGAACAACAATATATTGTATAATTCCTCCGGGGGTACTATGATGTAACTTCAAATAATTGTTTATAGGAAAGACAAATTAGTTAATTATTAATATATAAATCATATAATTTTTAAATTGATTCTACATTAATCGTACTGGTGTAAAATTCTTCTATCCATTAAAATTTTATTTAATTCTAATATTATAATATTATGTCGATTCGGTTAGACGCATCTTTCAGACAATTATACGTTATATAATATTTTTCCAAAATTTTTCATTTGGGTCTCTGTTTCACCTATTGCATCTGAATTCTTCTCCAATCCAAGTCTTGTTATACTCTCATAAAACAAGATCTCGTATATCAAAATCTCTATACTCCTTTCCACAGAACTAAAATCCTCAAATTTCCCTTTCATGTCTGTCCCTCTCTTATCTGAAATTCTTTACCATCTAATATCCGCTACGCGACTCCCCTTTCCTCATTTAAATCTTTCCTTTTCTATTTCCTTGTGACATCAAAGACGCTTTTCAATCTTGAAATTTTAATTTTTTGGAAGAAATTGTTAATTTGAAGTGAATAATAATTTTAATTATGGAATCAATTCATAATTTTAATTTTTTCTTTCGTTCACTTTATTTTAAAAAAAAAATTTTTCTCAAGACGATAATTTTTAAATTTTTTATAAATGATTTGTATTCTCGAGAATTTTTGTTTTGTTTTTTTGATATGTATGTAATTTTAATGTTGAGAATGTAGACATTGTTTTTTTGAAGAGAAGGATGGTTGGGGTGCTCAGTCAAAATAAAAAATAGTCAAAATAAATATTTATATTAATTTTTATATTTGCCGACCTTTCGACCCGAATTTCAGACCTTCATCAGGGCTGGTCAATCAAAGGAGCGTGGAAAGACCAATATTTTTTTTTGTTTTGTACATATTTATTATTTTTAAGGGACATAGTCCCAGAATAATGTTTGTTTCCTATTCTAATATAATCGTATGCTAATTAGTGTTGCCCAAAATCGGTCTTGGTCTTGCACCTTGCAAGACCAAGACTATGGTTGGTAAAAAAAAAAAATCGATTTTTAAAATAAAAATTAAGCAAAATAGTTACTAATACTTGACAATCTTAGTTACTATATGTTAATAATTGTTATAACCAATATACTTTTGCATTTAACTCCTCTAATTTTTCAATCGGGCTTAGTTAGGTTTCTCCTATCTAAAAAAATTTATATATCTCTATAGTAATAAGCTAATAAGTAACTGCAAGACTGTTGAGGGACTATTGCGCACGACCAAGTTTGTTTGCCAATACCAAGGACCAAGAATGAGTTTGCTAGACCAAGACTCGTCTCGGTCTCGCATTTGGGGAACACTAATACTAATAGTTTATAGATTGTATATTCTGATTTATTGAGGAGCAGTGATGGTTAGAGCTTCATTTGCTCGTAGATCTCGATTCATTAATACTCCCCTTTGATAGTCATGTATAACTTGGGGGTATAGGATCAAATAGGGGATGGAACACCTCCCAACAAAATGTGAAATTTTCTACTACTTCTTTTAAGAGAACCGAGTATGATTGTGGGTATTTATCATAATAAGGATACGCCCACAATGATTGAAATAAAGTTTTAGTAATGCTGTGAAAGACCGAATTCAAAGGTTGAGGTCAACCACACCCTCTGAGTATAAATGCCTGGTCCCGGGCTTCTGTAGACATTGCAGTCGAAAATCTCGAGGCAAACAAACTTCAACATGTTCAAGACTGTAAGTGTCAACAGACAGATTAGCTGTAATCTATGTTCTTACATAAAATTCGAATAATATTAATTTATATTTAAATTAGAGTATAATTTTAAGATAATTACTAAGTATCAATTAATTTTTTACTTTGCATTAGAATGCCCAGAAGAAAGTCACATGATACTGATTACCAAGATTACGATCTTTTATTTAAACTTACCACATCTACAAAACTAGGCTATTTCCTACTTCTATGTCTTGAATACGGAAACTTCTATATGCCTTTTTTTTTTATAATTTTATTTCTTCATTAATTTTTTCAATATTTTTGGGAAAAATTTAATTATATCACTATTTGAAACTTTATTAATTTTTAAGTTAAATGATTACTATTACTATTAAAGTAATCGTGGTTTTTATATTATTATTTTTTAAAGTTTTTAAACGATGAAATTTAATCTAAATGAAAGAAAAAATATTGTAATGTTGTTGTATAAAAATATTGGAAAATTGTAGCCGTTTACTAACAGTTTTTCTCTTTCTTTAATTGTTACTAAGGAAACCATATCCTTTTTTTTATATAAATATTCAAAGATTCTATCTAATGTTTTCTAAAATATCATATTAATAAATGTATGTTAAACTATTTTTCTAAATACTAAAACATTTTCCATTTTTTTTTTTGTTTAATTGAATAAATTCTGGAAGGTAGGTTTTAATAAATGGGTCTGGGAGTTAGTAATGGAACGATAGGTGTTTCATTTCGGGCCAAATAACCAACATCATAGGGCATTGTAGATAATTTTATGAGCGATATAATAAGCAAGGATTTTAGAATTTAATTAATTAATTAATTGATTGATCGGCTACGGGAAAAGTTTGATACCTTAGTAGAGAATAATTTATTTCGAAGAAACATTTAATTTCATAAATTTGAAGTTCAACTTAATGAATTTGCTTCTTGACTTATAAGCAGTTTGTTTGACATTATTTATCTTAAACTATTTTTCAGCTTTTCTTCTTTTTCTGCGTTGTGGCCGCCGCCCTCGCTGCACCAGGACTCATCGCTCCAGCCCTCATCCCAGCCCCTTACACCATCCACAATGGATACTCCGTCATCAGCCACGTCGAACCAGTCGAACAGCACGGATACACCATTGTCTACTAGAAAACGCAATACATCGCAATAGTTCATCAGTAATGTCGTCATTGAAATATTTATTTAAACCAATAAACTACATAATTCAATCGTAAAGTTTTGTGATTCTTTATTAACCATCAATCAGACGATACTCCATACCCAAAAGTTTTGGTGTGGTAACTATTGGAATTTTTTTCTTTCATAACAAAATTGAGATGTACTTTTACAACAAAAAAGTTATCCATAAGAGCCCTTCAGTTCGTTATATCTGATTCATCAAAAGTGGTTCGAAGGAAAGGTATTTACTCCAGGTGTTGACCAGAGTCACTAGCGGATCCAGGATTTAATTTTGGAGGGGGCTTCAGCCCGAAAGCTTTTTTTTTTTATATACCGTAAGATGGGGTATCTTTGGGACTGGATGGGTAATTTTGGAACAGCGACTAAAATTTAGTTTGTGGCTATTCTGTGGTATATACACTCTGTTGGTTGAGTCTGCAAAAACGTGCTTTGTGTAAGCATGTACTGCACTACTTCCTTGCGGCAGTTTTAGAACTCTTGTTCACAACATTCGTAGTGCAGTTAAGTTTTATTTATTTCCAATTTTTTTTTTCAAATTTCGCTTTTCATGAAACTTTCGCTTGTGCCTCAAGAGTAGTGTGATGCACAGGAGTAGGTAGTACAAGAGCTGTCCATGCTGACTGAAGCAGCACAGTGTATCCATCACGGAATCACCCCAAACTAAATATTACCCGCTGTTCCAAAGTTACCCCATCTTAAGGAGCATATAACTATAATTACTTTGGGTAAAAAAAAGAAAGAAAGAAACTAACTACCTTTATGAAATGGTGTTTAAGTTATTCTTGAAGTCCTATTATATGTAATAACACGAACTATAATACTTCAAGAGATCATTTAAATTTTTTTTCTCATAAAACATGGTTATATTTTACCGTTTTGAGGGGGACTTCATCCCGAAAGCCCCTCCTCCCGTAGACCCCCATGTGACCAGTCTTAATAAAATTGAATTACCAATAATTGTGTACGAATCCACATCAGTTGAAAAAGGATGTCATTATCATCCAATTGCTTTATGTCTAGAGAAGGGTGGATACCAAAAAAAAAACGCACATGAACTTCAAGGTTTCACAATCAAAGGTCCTTGAATAACAAAAAATCAAAACGTTTCACCAGCAAAAATAAAATAAGAAGAATTTTCATGTGAGTCATGTTTCCCTCTATATCTGTATAGAATTAATTATAAGCCACCAGGTCCCTTGGAGTATTTATTTTTTTATTTGTTTAATCACAAATATATATGTTCTGTATGTAAATGGAGCTTTTAGTAAAATATAAGTTTCACAAGCTTCCTCAAGATAACTCGTGACAAAAGTTACAATTTTAATTTCCTGATAATTAACAATGTCACAGTTGTTTAAAATAAATAACAAGCAATTGGAAGGACATCTGGTAGTATTGGATATCTCTTTATTCTTCTTAGCACAATTTAAATTACAAACATGGTAATTGAACCATTATTAGCAGAACATTTGAAATTCGTATATATGATTTCGTTTGTTATTTTCAATAATGAATTATTGTAATCGACCTAAAAAAAAAAACTTTCTGTACGTCAAAAGTTATTTGGATTTAATTATGACCATATTTCGTAGCCATTTGATCATCGTATGGGTATGCGAGTTATTAGTAAAGGCCAGATATATTAAAATAAATTAATTAAATTTATTATCATTATAACTATAAATATACAGGTTGAAATTATTATTTTTGTTTCAACTGAAAACTTCTCTAGGAGCGTTTTACACTTTTTGTGGAGAGTGAATTAGATTGAGCCGTCAGATTTCCGAAGTGTAATGTTCGGGTAAAGTCGGCTAGACTCGACTAATTGAAGTGTTATTGGATATGGATTAAAATATCTCAAAAACTAAAAATCGGACCTGCATATTGTTAGCGAGGGAAACGTACAGCATTTCATCCTCTTTATAATGAGCTATTATTTATATTTCATGTTATTAATTTCGCCTTGATGTTTTTACTTCTATCGTGTCGTTTAAAGCACACACCATAGTATTTTTTTGTTTGTTCTCTCCTTCCTTGCCATTTAGGCTACACGGGTTTTTATTCTCGGGCCAGGGGAGAAGGTAGGGGAATTATGCCGTGTTAAAAGTCCCCGAGATTTGAACTCGTAATTATTTTTCCATGGCTGTGCACTAGCCCAGCCCCTTACAGGCTAGAAAATTTACTTGAAATACGGCAATTTTACACTCTTTACATTTTTTAGTTTGTCGTGTTGTAAACAAATTGTAAAAACTTCATTTAGTTTCCTTGTGAACATTAAGTTTTCATTAAGAACATAATATAAAACTTTATTACTTATTAAAACACTTTATTCAGAAATATTACAATAATATAAAACTAGAAATTATTAATTAATTATTGTTAATCATTAATTTTCAGTCAGTATTCGTCAGCTTCTTCGATGTTACATGTTATATGTTAATGTTTCTTAAATGTTCTGCTCTCCAACGGCGCATTGTGTTACTACTCTTATTTTCTGAAATTCTTTTTCAACCTTAATAATTTTCTTTTATTTAATTATGAAATCTTTCATCTATTTTTCATGACTACTAACAATGAGGCAGTTAGGGGTGTCCATCCTATTCAAGGTCGATGGCGAAAGACTCTCCCCCTTTCATCTCTTTTAAAATCGTGCAAGCGAAAGTAGAGTTAGAAAAATTGTAGATGATATTCAATTACACTTGCTATTGTCTGTTCCATATTTTCGCTTCGTTCTCTGGTTTGAAAGTGCCTCCAAGTTGAAACCTTACAAAAATATGGTTCAGAATCCCGTAAAGATGTTTCCTTTATCCTATATAATCCAAAAATTTAATATCCTGTGAAAACGTGACATTTTCAAAAACTCTGATTGCGCCATGACTTGACACCAACCCTTTCTTGGTACCCCCGGAGAAGGTTAATAATTAAAACAAAAAATTAACAATAGGTACTTTAAAGGAAGCAATTTTGAAAATTGTTAATCTATTAACGTTTGAACCATTTTCGTGGAACATGAAAATATGTGTAGATAATTGATATAAAATTACACTTTCATACATGAAATAACCTATAGGTTATTTTATATTTCAATTTATGGCCAACTATACAGCCTACTGACTGGAAAATCACAACTTTCAGTTGACAAAAAATTACTGATCTACAAGAAAATCCTGAAACTTATTTGGACCTACTGACTGGAACATTGAGAGACAGCAAAATTTTCCAACATCAAACGCATCCAGTCCAAAGTCCTCCAAACAGTAGTCGATGCTGCGTTCTATGTAAACAAGAAAATCCTACATCATGACCTTAATATCCCATTTTTCCTAGACCTTTTCTCTGAAAAAAATTGCAAATTCCATCGGAACCTTACAAATAATCAAAATTCCCTAGCACAATCCCTATCTAGCTCCACCCATCCCTACAATCCTCCTCGAAGGTTGAAGCGGCAGTGGCCCAGAGACCATTTGTAGTATATATGTTGGAGTTCTGGCAATGATCAGATTCTCCACTCAAGACATGAGTGTATGTGGCTAAAGCTCTCTTGCTCAATCTCCACTGGCTTTAGCACCGGTGACGCGGTTGCGCAGGGATCTCTTGGAGTCCTGCTTTTCCCTCTACAGTTGGAGGAACGAGCCTGGCTTGGGATTCTCTGCCTGTATGTATATATTGTATACCGGTATAACTGTGTTTTTATGTTTTTAATTTACTCACTTTAAGTTACTTTTTTTTTATTGTATATACTTTTTGATTATTATTTAGTTGTTATTTTACTTATGTTTATTTTATATTATCTGTATATATGGTGTGAATGTGTTCATACCTCAATATATGTATTACCCATGTAACAGATTGTTATATCTCTGATTAATAAAAAAAAAAAATCAAATTCATTGGTTTATAGATATCTCCAGTCCTTGATTTGTAATGAAGTTCTAATACTTATTGCTTTTACCGAGATGCAATCTTTATTGCACGGTATTACTACTTGTGTTTAAATCCAAATTTGAAAACAATCGGTCCAGTAGTATAAATTATATTACACACTATAATATAAGCTCTCAGAAATGAAATATCTTTTAATGTTTTTTACCTTATACCTAGAAAAAAGTCTCATAAATCAACTGGCTTATGAGCAACTAAATAAAGTAAATTTGTTTTGGGCAGTGTATTGTATGGTAGAAAAATATCTTGGGCTAACGCGTGTGCACAAAACAGGCGTTGTCTGGGAACCTGATAATTGAGCTGGGTGAGGCTTTTAATTCTTGCATTAATCCATCGCCCTTTCCCCTGGCTCGTGTAAAAAACTTAGCAGTCTAAAAGGTGAGGAAGGTGAGGACAAAAAAAATTCATTTTTAATACCAAGCAGAAAGGTTAAAACGCTGCATTGTAATGATTGGATTTCAAACTATTTATTATATAAAGGGCCATTATCTATATATGTATATATATATATATATATATATGTTTTCATGAATCTTCATCATAATAATTTTCATTATTTTTAAGAGTTCCTTTGTTTCGTTATGGAATACAATTGGTCCAGTTGGGGGCATTATAATTGTATTTACAAAAAATAACGTTCCAATTGTTTTATGAATGATCTGTAATAAAAAATGTGTCAGTGTTATTCCATCTCGTTATTTTCTACCTTAATGGATGGATTATTGATGATACTGTGAATAAATCAATGAAGTAATTGGTTTTATTGTTTAATATGAATGAAATATTTATATTTTTATACTTAGGATTTGGTTTTGGACACGCAAGCCTATGGACTCATTGCGTTCGTCTCTACTGTGGATACTTGTTTTGTTGAATGGGATATGGGAGTTGGAATATGATAAAAAAAAAATTTTTTTTGGGAGATACCTATATTGAAAATATTTACATTGTTTTATGAACATATATCATGTTTTAGGAGTTTTGTGGTTTCTTCACTACGAATGATAAATCTTCTAGTAGACAATGGTGTATCCGTGCTGTTCGACTGG